GAGCGGTTCCTCAATGGAATAGGTTTCCTCGGGAGTTGGTGGGTTCTCCTTCTTTGGAGGTTTTCAAACAAAGGCTAGATGGCCATCTGACAGCAATGCAGATTCTGTGAACTTAGGCAGATCATGGGAGGGAGGGCAGGAAGTGTTGCATCAGTGCTTAGTTCTTGTGGCCCTTTCTTACATGCCCAGGGAAATTCTGGTTGCCACTTTGAGGTCAGGAAGCAATTTTTCTCCAGGTCAGTTTGGCTAGAGATCCTGGAGGTTTTTTGTCATCTTCTGGGCATGGAATGGTGGTCACTGGGGGTGGGTATTTGTGAACTTCCTGCATTGTGCAGGGGGTTGGACTAGATGACCCTGGAGGTCCCTTCCAACTGTATGACTCTATGAGAATCAAGCTGGCTTCTATCTACATATTTCCATCCTACCAAGTATTTCTTGGTCCCTCTAGAGCAGGGCAGAACATTATATAATGGTGTGTTCTGTGATGACATTATGGAACCAGGTTCCAAAGCTGAGACTTTAGGTATACATCTAGATAACCACTGGGAAGCAAATCCCCGCTGTCATCCTTTTTGCTCCATGGTCATGTCTGAGCAATCATCTTTAGGATTCAGCTGAAAGAAGTACTGAAACTCATCCCCATGCTTCTGTCTGTCTTCCTAGGGACAGCGAGACCCCCATACTGGCACAAACCAGCCTATTTACTAGATCCGGAGGATGAAGAAAACAATGGCTATACAAATGATGATTTTATTATCTGGATGCGAGTAGCAGCCTTCCCTTCATTCAAAAACCTTTACTGCCGTCTCAGCCGCACCAATGAGTTTGCAGATGGGCTCCCTGCAGGAAATTATGGCTTACATATCTCTTATAGTATCCTTTCTCTGCAGGTTTGCTTCATGTTGGGAGGGAAATGCAGGCTCTTGCTACCCATGCTGTTATTTAGAACACCTTTCACAGCTTGGCTTTGCAGGAGCGAGTGAATTTTCTGCACTCCCTAGTGAAGGGGATTGAGGAATGGATGGATGAATGACTGTCAGCTGCTGAGATCTCTTGCTTGTCTTTTGGCTGGAGGAAAACTACAGAGGTAAAGCTTCCATCATTTAACTGGTTAAGAAATAAGGCAGTGGGGAAGAAAACTTCACAGAACATCTAAACCAGCCTAACCCCATTGATTTTCAACACCAGCGCCAATATACTGAATCAAAATGGAGATCCAAGTGCAAGAAGTGTAGTACATCAAACACAAAATGCATTTAAAGGGTAAGAAAAGTACTGTCTGCAGCTGGATTAGTGCTTTGACAACACCTAATTTAACCATATTCCTTTCGTTATGACTCCACCATGACTAGTTTTAGCTTAATTGAGCTGCAGATGTTCTTTTATTACAATTTCATGCATTCACCCACCCATTTTGCACATTAAAATGATATAAAATGTACAAGTTAAGTTCTGATGCAGCTTCATGGCAGGAAATAGGTATGACAGGACAGGACAAAGTATTTTAATGCTAAAATGCAAGGGTTTCTTTTTCGTGCTGTCATGCTAATATCACATGAATGGATTTCTTATACTTTCCCAAGTACTTTTTAAAATATCTGTTTGGCTCTTCTGCGTTAGTGATTGATTGAACTAGGAGAAAATTGGATATGCATAATATGTGTTGATGGAGATACAAAACTCTTTTCTACATTGTAATGTATATTGGAGGTATGCTTATTCTTTCCATGACTTTATGGAACAAAAGTCACTCCCAGATGGTAATGAACCTTAACACGATGTTACCAGATTTCCCAGTCACCAATTTTGATGGGAGAAAGCATGTTGTCCTCTCAACAGTGACATGGAGTGGAGGAAGAAACCTTTTTCTGGGAATAGCTTACATTGTTACTGGTGCAGTGACCCTATTGGCAGGTTGTGTCATTACAGCAATTTACTTGAAATACCGAAAAAAGACAACAGAATCCCAAGAGCAATGAAGAACTAAAGGAGGAAGAAGAACACCTGGAGAGTTAGTGACCACAAATAAAGGCTTAAATAGCCAGCTTTATTAGCTTGACCAGAAGGCCGCTTATTAAGCAGGGTCTCTTATTAAGGAACTCTCACTAGCAGTGTTCCCTCTAAGCTGAGTTAGTGTGAGCTAGCTCATAGTTTTTTAGCCTTTGGCTCACACATTTTTGTCTTAGCTCAGGAAGGATGGCTCCAGAGCAAACTAATTTATGCAGGAGCCAAATCGCTCACTCACAACTTTAATGCCGGTAGCGCACAAAGTAGACTCCTCAGTGTAGAAGGAGCATTGCTCACTAGTTAAAACAGATTTACTAGGCCTAGAATGCTTGCTTTACAATTCCGTTAGTACAAGTGTGAGTGTGTATAAGTTATATTACTGTAGGATTGAGTCTCCCCCTAGTGCCTTCTCTTTCATAATCTTAGAGCAGTTGTCATAGCAGGGCTACAGCTTCCAGAGAGGTCTTTCCTCAGACTACCCAAGGATTTTGTTTGATTCTTATTTGGTCTAATCGTTCATATGCATCCATTTTAGCTAAAGCTGTGCACAAGTAAATTGACTTTATGAATGCTATACCCAGTTAGCTGTCTTAGGCAGTACACAGTTATTTATTCTATGTTAGTGCATAAGAATTTCTAATGTTTTCTCCTGCCCACTCACAGGCAGAAGTGCCACTCCATCTCTGCAGTGCCAGCTCCAGGTCTGGGGGGGGGGGCACACCTGGGGGCAAGATGCTTCAGTGAACCTGCCTCCTTGTCCCTCCCCACTCAGCAGCATTCATGCGCTTGAGGCCCAATGCTCACTAATGGCCGGGGGACCAAGGGGAATGGTGGTAGCTGCTCCTCCTGTCCACTGGGTGGAAGAGGACAGCCAAGCAGGGAACGATAGCAAGTAAGGCAAAAAGCAGGGCCAGGGGGCTCTGGGCCTGGCAGTCAGCCCCTTTCTGGGACACACACAGGCCACACTGCATAACTGGGAGCAAAACTGTTTCGAAAGCAATTACTCGGGGTCCTATAATATTGAACATGGGTCCCTTAAAACCACCCTTCTTAAGCAGGACCAGAAGGATCGCTATGTTAAGTCGGTGATAGCAAAATTATAGTCGTCTGCGAGCATCTTAAAAGCCTTACAAAATGCATTTTAGCATCAGCTGTCACGAATTAAAGCTCACTTCCTCAGTTGCACAGAGGTGTATATCCACAGATGTGGTTAAATGCTTATCAGGAGAGGGGTAAACTGTCAGTGAAACATCTGTGAAACAGGAATGAAAATAAAACAGTTGCTGTAATGAGGGAATATGTTATAAAGCTTCCTGAATGCAATATTATTATTATTAGTTTTTTAAAGTCATTTAGAGGCTCAATAACACAATTTTGTACAACAAAAGCTTGTAACTATGTCTTTCATGGATTATGCAGATTTAAATAAATGTTAATTTTGCATAAACTTGCCCTTCTTTTGCATGTTGTGGGAGGGAAATGCCACCTAGTGGAAATCTTGTTCAGCCCCAGCTTGGGCCTGTGAACTTAATGGTCATGATCTAGACAGTCAAGGCTTTTTGTAGTATTCAGAGCTAATATACTTTCAAAGGACCAAAACAGATACACAGGATGATAAAGTTTGCATCCAGCACCAAACGTACTGAGGCAGCTTTCCAAACCACACAGGCCTTACCTAAGAAAAATAATGGTCACTAAAAGAATGTGTGTGTGTGTGTGCGCATGCAGATTCATCATGGCTATATCGGCAATGTGGTCTTTATACAACTGTCCCTCCCTTTAAAAAACAAACACCAGCCTCAAGAAGATGGAAATTTGCCTGGTATATTCTTCAAGCCATCAAAGAAAATAAGACTTCACCACTGTGTTAGATTTCATAGCTTTCAAACTAAACCACATGAAACCTACTTTGAAAAAGCAAGACTATATGAGTAAAAGCCCATGCTAGACCGCAGGCCTAGTTTATACTGAGGAGCCTAGGTATGTCTCTGGGCTGTATTATTTCAGACAGCTGGTGGGGGTCTCCTTCATTTAAAACAGAAAACTACATGTTCAGGAGGAGGGTTCCAGCCAAGCCTCTTCACTGACATGCTAGTTTTCTAGGTACAAGGTTATACACACTCCTACCTGCAGTTTGAACAGCCCAGATCAGCATGAACTCTGAACACAGTGACTTTATTTCTCTAATTAGGGAGACTGCTCTATTATAAGCTCTGCTGTTCCATTTGGTATAGTGGATGTTCACAACTAGGTTAAAAGTTCATGGGAGTTCTCAAGTAACAGCAATATGAACTCCAGGTCTTTTACGCACCATCTGTGGTAGTGACACTGTTCATGAAGGCTTCCCAGGGAAAACAGCGTGTAACAAGAAATGTATAGTTTGCAAAGGAAAAAGCTGTCAGTATAAGTAGGGCTATACATGAAACTGTAGATTAATGTGTCTGTCTTCATTAGTGCTTTTTCATGGCAAAAGTAGCTTTCAGAAAGGATACACCGTCTTCCATAGTACCGTCCTCTGTGAGTTTAAATTCACAGCATGTAGCAGCACTACACCATTCAGCACGCACAGTGAAGAACACCTCCACTGCCAACTCCACTCAGCACAGGACAATCACGAGATTGGAATTCGACCAGAAAGTTATAGTCACTTCCTGCTCCTGAGAAAGATGCCTGTGACTCTTAATGGGCTGGATCCTGCAGTCTCTCAGCAGAAGGCCCTCATGATCACAGATCTCATCACTCTTCTCCCCCAGCTGTCCCATTCGACTTCAGGAAAGTTCATTCGTGAAACCTTATGGAATTAATAGGGAGGGCTGCAGTGTGGAGGGTGGGAAGTTGCCCTTCCTGCCTCTTCTGGTCAGCAGATCTATACTAATGGAAAAGGGAGAAGGAGGCAGTTTTGTCCTCTGTAGTCTTCAGAGTATCTTACCTCTAGACTCCCTGCTGGGACCCTTTCTCAGTCTTCAGCTGCGAGTAGGTTCTGCTTGGGATTTTAAAGGTAGTCAAACACATAATATCTTATTACCTTCAGAGAAGCTGAACCATGAACGGTCTGGCAGCCTTTGTTCCCTGAACATGTGGAATGTTTGTGCATGTTCCACACCAGCTCAACCAATCAGGGCCAGAGGCTTCACCATCACAAGCAAAATACAAAATAAATTTGCAGCAATCCTGATAGAGGGCTTCTGTGCCTTACGTAACACCTGAGCCTATTTCATGATTAAATGCAAAATAAATTTATACAGGTACATAAACCCAAGTTGTAGTGGGGGAGATATAAAATAGGTTGTCATAGTGCAGATGACTTATCACAGTGTACACATCACAATGTTCCACTCCTCCTCCATACAATTCTAACCATAATAGTTAATCCATTATGGTTGGCAGAAACCAAGGGTGACAGTGAAAATCTCCAGGAGGATCTCCATAAATTGGATGAGTGCACTATGATGTGGCAAATGAGGCTCAGTATAAGCTGATGCACACCAGAACAAAAAAAATCCCAAGTATATGCTAATAGGGTCTGAACTTGCTGAGACTGAGAAGGGAAAGAGACCTTAGGGAGGCAGCAGTGAAAAGGGGAAACTCTATGCTGGGGATTATTAGGAAAGTGACTGAAAAAAACAGCCAACATTATAATGCCCCTATATGGAGCTTTGGTGTGACCCCATATGAAACACACTGTGCAGTTTTGGTTACCATATCTCAAAAAGGACATTGAAGAGCTGGAAACAGCACACGAGAGATGAACCAAGATGATTAAACAGCTGGAGCACTTTAGAGACATGACAGAGGTTTATAAAATTATGGATAGAGTAAAGAAAGTGGACACAGAGAACTTTTTCTCCCTCTCCCAAAATACTAGAACTCAAGGGCATCCAATGAAGTTAATGGACGGTAGATTCAGGGCAGACAAAAGGAAATACTTACCGAGGGACTAATATGTGGAATTCATTGTCAGAGATTGTAGTAATGGTCACAGGCACAGATGGCTTTAACAGGTCCATGAAGGACAAGGCCTATCATGGCTACTAGCCATGATGACTAAAGGAAACTGTGAGATAGGATGCTGGACTAGATGGACCACTGGTCTGATCCAGCAGCACTCTCTTATATTCTTATGATTAATTTAGCCATGCCTTATAATCTACCTGAGAGCCTCATGTATTTACTTTTAAAATGCTCCACTGAAACTATCAAAAAATCTTCACACATTTTCTATTCAAAATAGATTAAGCAGTATATAACATAAAGCTTATACTCATAACAGCAGCAGCATACTTATGCACTGGCAAAATGCTATAGCAAGGATGGCTGGAGAGGAGCTACAGCAAAAAGCTACATAAGCTTCTGTGCCACAAAGAACAGGGTTAGAGTCTACAACCTCCATTTCCACTGAGGTTCACAAAGCATTTTCCTGACACCAAATAAAAGTTGTGCATCTGCTGAAAAGATATTCTTCAACAGACTGATGCAATTTACTGCCAATTGGCAGTATCAGAATATCAGAAACTGAATCAGATTCTTTTCCTGATTTACAGGGACAATGTTTGTACAAAATAACCATGATTTCCACATTGTGCATTTTATTTAAAAGGTTCTTACATACATTAAAAAAATCACTATTCATATAGTCTAAATTCTAGCAACATATACAAACACAGAGTGACTACATAACATGCTGAGGTAAGAAAGTACATTCTAGGAAAATAACCACTCAACATTATTTGCACCCATCACTCTGTGCTAAAACACAGACCCCTCTGCGTACCCTTGAGACAACATACTAGACACAATATCAACGCTGGGCCTAAAAGAAAAGAAAACAACCAAGCACTTACTGTGACAGTTGTCTGTGCTGTGTATCTTACATTCAGGAATCAATAAGTTAGTGCCTAAAATACAGGGCAGCAAATCAAGAATGCTCAGTTTTCATCTTGTTGACACATTTAATTTTGATACATTCAGTTCC